TACCAGAGCTTGCAATAAACCCAGATGCCAACTTTGCTGCCACATGAACCCAGACAACACAATCACGGGACCTTACAACATCAACCACACCAACTCAGGCTTATTCACATGCTCATCTTCTAACATTGTATATGCCATTAAATGCCAGCAATGCCCTTCAGTTCTCCACACAGGGCCAACAGGGCAAACCCTACACCAAAGGATAAATGGACACAAATCCAACATCAAGAATCACAAGACTGAGAGACCTGTAGGAGAACACTTCAACTTTCCAGGACATTCAATGGGTGACCTCAAAGTAGCTGTTTTATTGCAAAAGAACTTCAGGAACAGACTGGAAAGAGAAATCGCTGAATTACAAGTTATTACAATACTCGGAACAATCCCCCCCCCAAAGGACTTAACAGGGATACTTGTTTCTTATCTCACTATATATGCTACACACATTCAGTCCTTACATATGTATTCTCACCAAGAAGAGCTATATATCCTCTTTATTTTAGTGTATTTCTTATTTGGAACAGTAGATTGCAATAACGTTTGTAACATAATGCAATGAACGTTGGAATGTATTTCTCTGATCTGGTGACAGAGGAGACAGAAGACTGCAAAACCATTCACCCCACCAAGAAGAAAAGGATGTTGTTAGTTACCTCCATGCTTGAGTGAAAATGGATAGAGTGTAACAACAGGATCTCAGTTATTTAACTCTTAGCATTCCACAATTAAAAAGGGTAGATTTACACATCAGTCTCCTATTTTGACATATTTATTTGCTTCACTGTGTTTCCCCCCTTAATTAAATCCAAACAAATGGTGACCATATAAACTTAGCTTGTTATTTCTGTTTGGTCTTTGCATCTGTTAAAACATCTTCATTATGTTGTATGCTAATTTGCTGTTCACCTCTGCCTATATATATGGACTGTTAACTTTCATTCCAATGTATCTGAGGAAGTGTGCATGCAAACGAAAGCTCATACCTTGAATAAAGCTATGTTGGTCTTAAAGGTGCCACTGGACTCAAACTTTGCTATATTCACGGTTATCTTTGTTGTTACCTGCCTGATTGAGATCTGCTCTCAGCGTTCTGCTGCCAAAGATAGGACCCTTCTGGGCAGAAGAAACCCTTCCCAAATGAAGAGCTTTCAAGAACAGACTGTCCCATTCCTACAGATTATAAACCTTAGCAGAGATGTCATAGAACGGATCACTTATGGGACATTTCAGGCCTGGCATGGCACACAATTTTTGTTCAAGGTGGATCTCAGACACAACTGTACAAAATGAGCTTTACTGTTTTTGCAACCGGAGTCATAAACAGCAAACCCTCATCCCACAATAAGCCTTGTTCCACAGGAAGGTTGCTACTGCAAAAGTTGTCATGTGATTTGACAACAGCTGCTAGAAATCTTGCCACACGCAGAGCAGTTTGTTTGTCTTCATCTCTAAGTAACCAGGATGATTTTGCTTCTGGAGAGAGGAAGTCCTGATTAAATAAAGGGGAGATTAGTTCATCTCTTAGAGCTCCTCAGCCTTTTGGCTTAGATCAAGTGTAGTATCTGCCCAAGGGTTAGAGAAGTCCACAGACAAGGCCACAAAAAGGTCTGTAGATACTTCCCTCATGAAGAAAAGTTCTGAGAGAAAATTGGCCTTCCAAGAATGTATCCAATATGACCACAGCAAGCTTAAGGAAACTGGAGAAGCCTTCAGACATGATAGCAAGCCAGGGAATTCCAGAATATGGATATGGAAAGAATCTGCTATTGGCTATTTTGGCAACCATCATCATCATGATTATTATTGCTGTTATCTGCCTGACTGAGATCTGCTGTAAGAATTCTGCAGCCAAAGGTAGGTCCTTTCTGTGCAGAAGGAAGAAACCCTTCCTAGATTTAGAGCATTTCAGAGTGGTATCTCTGTTGATGGATAAGCCACTTTGGCTCAAAGACATGTATCAGAATCAGGATGAAATACAGAAGAAATGGCAGACAAATTGCATGATGAAGTGTCCTTGGAGGAGGTGAATATAGTCAGCTGAGGCAATGCAAGACCATCCTTACCTGAACCCCTTTGAAGAAAATCAAACCCCTTTGAAGAACTGCCACCTGCCCCCACTGCCAGACCTCCTTCTCCTCCACCACCACCATCACCTTCTACTCCTTCTCAAAAGCCCAGTGTGAAAAAGGGTTCAGACACAGAAGGGGGACCTTCTGAGGACAACAGTTCAAAAGCAGCATCTTTAGCAACAGATGAAGGAAGAGATGATGAAGACCAAGAAGGCTCTGCTGAGAAATCTGAAAACCCCACTACAACAGAGGCTACGAGTAAGGCACCAGAAAGTGGGGAAGGGGAAGACAAAGAGGAAGATGAATTATCAATCTGGTTTTATAAATATTTATGCATATTATCTGGAATCAAGTTTTGCTCTTTTTTATACTGAATATTATTAAAAACCTAACTCTGAAATATAAAAACCCCTAACATAATAGATGCTTTGAATTGGATTTGTCCCAAATTCTGCAACCATGTTTCTGTCGGTAGAAGCAATCATCAACTGGCAAGAATGTTCCTGACAGCTGAGCCTTCATTGTGAAATGAGTGAACACATGGAGTATGAGCTTCTTGTTGACTAGTCTCCATCTCATTTTTATTTATTTTAGTAAGGTTTAGCGTTCGAGTTACCTAGAAATGCCATGAGCTTTACTGTGCAACTGTGATCAAAACTAGATATTTTTACAGTCCAGCCCTAGGCAGACTATTCTATACAAACTGGATTGGAATCCAGACAGTTATTCACTCAGTCTGCTCCAGATGCCCTGCTTATCACATCCCTGGTCTTTTGTTCAGCCAAGTCCCATAATCCCCATAGCTCAGTGTTTTTGGTGGACGAAGAGACCACTGCTTCCTTTCTCTCCAGAAGAAAAGATGGTTGGATCCATCCCATCAGTTGCTTAGGCTGGGGCAATGCTGCATAGGACTATAGCATTAATTATTCAACACTGTTAAAAGTTGTAAAATATGCATTTACTGTGCATCAAGTAGTACAGTAGAGTATGGAAGGAAATAATTCCAGATGGTAGCTATATTAGGTCTATTCCAGCAAAAACAAACAGGAATCTGGGGGCACTTTAACGTAAATTTTATTTCACCTGAACTTTTTGTAGACTAGAGCCAGTTTGGTGTAGTGGTTAAGTGTGCAGACTCTAATCTGGGAGAACCGGGTTTGATTCCCCACTCCTCCACTTGCACCTGGCTGGATGACCTTGGGCAAGCCGTAGTTCTGATAAGGGCTGTTCTTGAAAAATGAGCAGTTTCTGTCAAGAGCTCTCTCAGCCCCACCTACCTCACAGGGTGTCTGTTGTGGGGAGGGGAAGGGAAAGGAGCTTATAAGCCGCTCTGAGACACCTTTGGGTAGTGAAGGGCTCAGTATAAATCCAATCTCCTTTTCTTCTTCTTCTTGTCCCTGGTGTATGTGTGGGAAAATAAGGATTTCTGACCATACCTGTACATCAATGGTTTAAAAGTACAATGGATTTCTGCTATCTCCATCTTTATAACCTGAGTTTCATCATAATGATTTGGATGTAGAACTGAGCTAGGCACAGCTGGTATCTTTGAAGATCTGCATCTACTACAGTACAATCACCCCTCCAGAGTTATAAGCAAATGACAAGTAGCTGCTTGTTAATGACAACTGACTATTTTGCCATTAAAATTTCTAATAATGTATGACAAAAAAGTCAAACATAGTTTATTGAAAAATAGCAAAGTTGTTACTATTATCTATAAGCACAGGAATATAAAATCAATACAATGAAATTAATGCTTGAGCATCTAGTAATTACAAGATCTCCACTCAGCACTGTACCAAAATTCAGAACCGGGAAGGGAATGTTTCCAAACTAAACTATCCTACCTCAGAAAATGAAAACAATTGTGATATGGAAAAACAAGTCCCAGATACCTTTTAGCAACTGGAAGATGCTGGAACTCCATTTTATATATCTCCCAGCAGCAATGAACACTTGATAGGCCAAACCTTCTGATGGTTCCTCTCTGCAAATTGGTAATATTGGCAACTGCCTGCTCACATGCATTCTCCGTGATGGCTCCCACCTTGTGGAATGGCCTGCCGGAGGTCAGGAAGGTTCCCACGGTACAATGAATCACTCCATAGAATATGCAAAACAGAACTGTTCAGGAAGGCATTCTTACAATGGAATTCAGACTGCAGAGGGACAGAGTGGTCCAGAAGGGTACTTCCATTTGAGAGTAGAGAAGGGGTACTGCATTGTGTTGTACCTTTGCAATCCCACATTCTGCATTTCTTGCACTATGCCAGCCTGGGCAGTTTGCTATTCATATTGTCATTTAATTTTTTATTTATTGTTCATTGGATGTCTTATACTGTATGTTACCTTTTTCTGTACTTGGTAATCCACCTTGAGTCTTACTAAGAAAGACAGGCTATAAATAAGATAAAGAAAGAGATAAATGATGAGATACGGATGTTGCTGCAATGTTTTACACTAGCCTTCTCTGACACTTGTCCAGCAATTTACAAGGTTATATTCTGGGAGGAGGAGTGATAAGCAATAGCTAGTAGGACACTTGCTTCCACTTGGTCTTCTCAAACTTTTCCGAAGAACTTTGTTGAAACTTGGGGGGGGAGATTATGTGTCATGTTAAGACAAATACTATTTTCCACAGCTCTTGTCACACTTGATTGCAAAGAAGGTATGTAAGCACAACACTGATTCAATACAGAAAGTTTAATTTGCAATACAGTGAAGTCCATTCTGAGATTCTATGCAAGATTTTCAAAAGACCACTGACAAAAAAAGTCTGATTTCATTATCTTTTTTTAAAAATCTTTTGACTGAATTTAGCACCTCTAATTTTTTTAAAATTCAAGTGCTATATTCATCCTGTAAACTATAAAAAGCAAAAATGTAAAACTACATTCAATAATGTGAAAGGAGTAAAAGAAAGCTGCAGCAGGGAGGGGTCTAAAAATATAAAGAAGACAGGATTTTAAAATCTTACTGCAAGAGTATTAACTGTAATAAAAAGAGAAGATATTAAAACCAGCAATTTATTAGGTGCCAATATGTAATAGAATCCATAAGACAAGCAAAAAATGAGGTTAAAGAGAAAAGATTTGTTTCTAGGAAAGAGCTTCCTGACCGACACTACAAAGCAGTGCAAACGGTGTCTGTGTGGTCCCCCTTGCTAATAAATCAACTGTCAAAGGTTGATCTGCAATTAATAAGCAGCCAAAGCTTTTTCCAAGGATTTGTAATACTCTGTCAGTACAGTCCATGCTTTAGGAGCCATGAAACCTTCTGGAGGATTTTGCCCTTCTCTAGCCAGTTTGCGCATGCGGGTTCCCGAAATAAATTCAAAATCTTCATGGCTGAAAAGAAAAAAGAAAGACTATATTAGGAAGAGGATTTAACAATCAACTCCATTCATGTCTTTGTCCTAGAAGTGCTCCTGAAGTGAGTCACAAGTCAGAACGCAGATATTTAGACAAGGGGATCACCCCCATCTCCCATGTAGTGAGAAAGCACTTTTCCAACTACACACAGTGAAATATGGTATCAACCATCACCACCTCTACTGAACATACATGAAGGTGCCTTATACTGGATCAGACCTTTGGTCCATCAAGTTAAGTACTTGGTATGCAGACTGGCAGTGGTTCTTCAGGGTCTTGGACAGAATTTTTTCCCCTTACCTGCCACAGTTATATGTTGCGTCCAAGGAACTAACAGGCCAATAATCCCAAAGTCTGCTTCAGGAAAATTGTTTGAAAGCTTTATTAAAAAGTAGAATTATTACAGAACAACCCTCGCTAAGAAAGAATCAGCATGCTTTCTGTAAAGAGAAGTTCTGCCTCATCAATGTATTAGAATTAAGAATATCAGACATGTACATAGGTTGACGGTAACATACGTTTTACATTTAGACTTTCAGAAACTTTGATATTACAATTTCAGGTGGGTAGCTGTGTTGGTCTGAAGCTGTAGAACAATGTTTGAGTCCAGTGGCACCTTTAAGACCAGCAAAATTTTATTCAAGGTATAAGCTTTCGTGTGCAAGCACGCTTCCTCACATACAGAGGTGTGTTTTTTTAAAAAAAATGTATTCAGAAAAGAATAGGAAAGGTGGCTCATGTGAGCAGGTCAGCATTGTGTCCACAGGCAACATGATGCCTACCAAGTGGGTAGTGCCAGCAGGACTTTTGACTGGCTAGCTGTGCAGGTTTTTAAAAAATCTCCAGCAGCAGCTACCACCACAACACTAGGATCTTTACTATGTGACTGAAGGTAAGCTGCGTGCATGCAAGAAAATATTTTTAAACAATGTGTTCATTTTAAAAGGCTGGCAAGCAATCTAAGCGGTGGAGTCTCCCAAGTATGTGTTTTAGGATCAGCCGTATTTAACTACAGCTGCTTTGAAAAGAGCATCGGCAGCCGCGGGATAAGCCTATGGGTGCCACGTTTAGTCTGGCTCTTAGTCTTGCACATATTAAGGGTAGATTTTCTCCAGCAAGGAAAATTTCTTCAAGCACTTATGAAAGCACCCAAGTGGTGAGACAGAAGGGACACAACCAGAAATCCAACCACCTACTGAAAGGTAGGAGCTGCGGTGGCTCAAGTGGTTAAGACGCTGAACTGCAGGCTGTGGAAGGTCAGTAGTTCAGCAGTTCAACACCCGGGTTGCCACATGACGGAGTGAGCTCCCCCCAGCTCCTGCCAACCTAGCAGTTCGAAAGCAAGAAATTGCAAGTAGATAAATAGGTACCACTTCGGTGGGAAGGTAACAGTGTTCCGTGCACCTTGGTGTTTAGTCATGCCGGCCACATGACCACGGAAATGTCTTCGGACAGCGCTGGCCCTTTGGCTTTGAAACGGAGATGAGCACCACAACCCTAGAGTCGGACTCGACTGGCTTTCAAGCAAGGGAACCTTTACCTTTACTGAAAGGTAACCATGAGGTAGAACAATGTACCTAGCTTGAATTTGATTAAACATTAAGCATGGTACTTTTTTCAAAAAGGTGTTAAGAGTACAGCAACACAAAGACAAGAATTACTAAAAACTCTGAAGAGACAAGAGATTTATTGTTTTATTAAATACAGCATTTTCACTTAGTTTAATGAATTCATAACATTTATTTGTTACTCATTGCCTGCTGGTTTGTTTGAACCGTAAGCCAAAGGCTGACCTCAGTTGGATACAACTCAGGGGAGAAGGGGGGAAATGGAAGACAAATGTAGGCAAGGCATCTTTTCTTCTTTTGCATTATTGTTATGCTCTTAGTAAATAAATAACTTTACTCTTTGCATATTATGTGCAATAGGTTAGCAGTGGTACCCTGCACCCCATTTAGAGAGCCAGCGTGGTATAGTGGTTAAGAGCGGCATTCTCTAATCTGGAGAACTGGGTTTGATTCCCCACTCCTCCTCCACATGAAGCTAGCTGGGTGACCTTGGGCCAGTCACAGTTCTCTCAGAACTCTCTCAGCCCTACCTACCTTACAGGGAGTCTGTTGTGGGAGAGGAAGGGTAGAGAAAAGCAGGGTACAAAACCCAGTTCTTCCACTTGGGTACATCATTTCACTGCCAAGTATAATTGCCTTACACGCAATTCTAATTTGGATTATTCCCCCACGTTTTTGGGTTTTTTTGCATGTTGGCTTGTCTTAATCTTATCTTAGCCTCTTCTTTTATTTTTTTTTATTTATTCTTCACACTTCTACCCTGCCCTCCCAGCTGAAGCCAGCTCAGGGCGGCTTACATAAAATCGGCACATGGTTACAATAAACGATTAAAACATTTAAAACAGTGCTAAAACCAATTAACAATAGCATAGGTGCTAGTATTGTTGGTATTAAAACAGCGATGGCTACCATATCAGCTCTCTTCCCATATCCGGCTTGTAGATCTTCCTCGAATATCTTGCAGGTGGGCTGGCACGGGCGGTTATTACGATTTCCGAAGGCAACAGGCTTCCTATCCTAGTTGTTGGTGGTGGCAGCTCCAAAAGCCTGGCGGAAGAGCTCCGTTTTACAGGCCATGCAAGACTGTGAAAGGTTCTGCAGGGCCCTGATTTCCTCTGGGAGCTCATTCCACCAGGATGGAGCCACCACCGAGAAAGCCCTAGCCCTGGTTTTCAACAGCCTGGCCTCCTTAAGACTCAGGAGGACCAAACGGTTCTGAGCCCCTGAACGCAGTGCTCTCTGGGGAATACGTGGGGAAAGGTGGTCCCTCAGGTATGTAGGCCCCTGACTATAAAGGGCTTTAAAGGTAAGAACCAGCACCTTGAAACAAATTCGGTATGCTGTCGGCAGCCAGTGGAATGCCTTTAGCACAGGCTGGATGTGCTCCCGGATTGGGAGTCCCATCAACAGTCTGGCCGCAGCATTTTGCACCAGCTGCAACTTCCGGATTTGCACCAAGGGCAGCCCCATGTACAGAGCATTACATTCTTTCATTTCTCTGCTTGTTTTATTTTTTTCAGCCATAAATTTAACCATGTCACTTCTTTATTGCTTTTTCTTTATTGGTTACCTCAACCCTTCTATGTTGAGTCCCAAGATTTATTTTAGATGCATCCATTCCCGAGGTTCCATCATATCTTCATTTTTCCTTTTTTCTCCTTCATTCTCTCTCTCTCTCTGTTCCTGAGGTCCTTTTTTGTAGATTTCCATCTCATTCTCTTTACAACCTAGTTATATCAAGGGTGGACTGGCCCCTTAGCTTATGGGGAAAGCGCCCAAAACACCCTCTGTCCTAGAGGGCCTCTGAAGGCCAGTAACAAGCTAAGCCGAGTGGCTCTTATGGTGCTGAGAGCTCTTCAGGGGCCACTCAGATCAGACGTAGACTGTGGCAACAATGACAGTGATGGTCAAGCTTATACTTGTTGTCCTTGTTGGGCTGAGCCAAGCAGCTCCTGCCACACAGACAACAGCACAGGGGCCACTTGGTTCAGCTTGTTCCTGGCCTTCAGTGCTCCTCCAGGAGAGGGTAATCTGGGAACTTTCCTAGAAAGTTAGGGGGGTATTCTGCTCCTGCTGTCTATTGACACCCAGTCCATTCAATTCCTTCCAACTGTTATCAGACATCATAAAATGCATTTGTCTCAGCTAGCGTATAGTCGATTTTACATTCAGTCTCCTCCCCACTGCTTTTATTTAGTATTACCTACTAAGACTGTAAGCTCTTGGGCAGGGCTGTCATGTCTAACATTGTTCTGTACAATGGCAGGTTGTTATGGTGGTGGTGGGAAGCGCCATCAAGTCACAGCCGACCTATGGTGGCCCTTTGGGGTTTTCAAGTCAAGAGATGTTAAGAGGTGGTTTGTCATTGCCTGCCTCGGTGTCGCAACCTTGGCTGGTCTCCCATCCAACAACTTACCAGGACTGACCCTGCTTAGCCTCCAAGATCTGACAAGGCTGGGCTAGAGCCATCCAGGTCACGGCTGGCAAGGTGTTATAGGTGAATTATATTAGCAACTCTTACAACTGTGTCAGTATTAAAAAGCCTGTCTGGAAAAACAACAACAGATGCATTTCTTTTTGACACCACGAGCACCACAACTTAAATAGAAACATTACTCACTATGTTATTTTTAATAAAATTACACCAATCTGAATAAAAGCTTTTAATCAATGAGTGTAGAAAAGCAGCTTAAGCAGAAACATTACTCACTTTGTTATTTTTAATAAAATTACACCAATCTGAATAAAGGCTGTTTTATTCAATGAGTGTAGAAAAACAGCTTATGTATGAATTATTAATCTGCTGTATGACAGAATCACACGTTGCCCGTTTCAGTCAATTAAAACTCACAATTCTCCAAAAGGGCCCTGGGAAGAATAAAAATTACTATATCTGTTCAGAAACAGCCAAAACGCAATCTAATAATTTGTAGTAATACGAGAGTTTGCTTTCCATTTACTCTGTGATTTATGTACTTTAATTTTTAGCAGAAACCATGCTAAGTGAATGACAGAAGGACATTGTCCATCCACAGAACTAGGATTAAACAGCACTCTTTGAAACATACACACACCAGAAATTAATCAAGCAGCACAAACTACTGCCAAACTACTACTTTTCTCAAATGTTTCTTTATACTATGAAAGGACAATTGCATAGTGTTCAGTAGTTCCCATTAGCACTAAATCTGAATCACAGGAGAATCAGTAGATGCATCAGTATCCTGTTTTATAGCACAAACTACCTTCAGATATGCCAAGCTACAACTGGATACAGATAGTCATAATGCAAATCCACAAGTCATGAACAAGCTGGTGTTAGTTAGGACAGCTTGCTATGGTGGGTATCTCTGATGTTGGATCCTACCAGCTTTCTGGGGGCAAAAGGGGGCAGGGAGTCTTTTTGTG